CTAATCGATTATTAAATTAGTTGATTATTTTAATAATCGATTAGTCGTCGATTAATTGGTGCAGCCCTAATATTCAGTTAATCAGTTACAAAATTTCCTTCAGAAAGACACCAGATGCTCCTCTTTAGGTTAATTAACAATAATATTGTCACTTTAGTTCAGTTTTAAATAGGGCTGGGAAATAAATTGATTTAATCGATTAAAATCGAATTTGGCATAAAAAAATCAGAGATATTTTTTTTGGCCCATACCACCCAGCCCTAGTTTTAAATAAGCAATCTGTTATTTTATAATGTCATTATTGGTACAAACATGACTTCCAAACCTGTTTTGGTTCTTATAATGTAAAATAAATCGTTAGACCAGACCAAACTAAACCAGATCTATAATCTTAGTGCCATAAAATTTGATTTTAACAGATGTGCACTGAAGCCCAAAAACTAACAAAAGGAAAAAAATGTAATCTCATGAAGCTTTGGACAAACTCGTGTGTTGTGGAACGATGATCACATCCTGTTTGCTGTTGCTTCGTTGCTTCACTCAACTTTTATTTTTATCTCTCAGCTGTTTGCTGTGAGGTTCGGGTCTAAAACGTCTGAGTTTGGAGCAGCACAGCAGTCAGGGCAGTTTAGACCGTTTGATTTTATGTGGTCATGCTTTTAAACAAGAGAGGGGCAACGATGCAGGGCACAGACGAGGCAGGCCCAGTGCTTCAAAGAGCAGCTGGGATGGTGAGAGGACAGAGTAAAGACAGCACAGACGGTCAAAATAACATTACAATGTTAAATAAAGCTTGTTGTTACAAAGAGTTACTGGTCTGACCTGTTGTGTGTGTGTGTGTGTGTGTCCTGTCAGAGATGGAGTCGGTGAAGCTGGCCCGCACCGTCTTTAACAGACTCTTTGACATCTGCTGCCTCTGGCAGAAGGAGCTGCCTTTCCGCCGCCGCCCACAGCCGTACTACGAGACGTCCATCCACGCCATCAAGAACATGAGGCGCAAGATGGAGGACAAACACGTCATCATCCCTGACTTCAACACACTCTTCAACATCCAGGTAAATATTTCTCAAAATGCATCAAATGAAACATGCAGTCATGGGTTGTTGTGATCAGTTTGTAAATATTGGGTCTGAGCAGCATGTCTGAGGTGCAGGAGACCTTTCCTTCTGAATGTCATACTTTCCCCCCWGGCGTCTTTAGAAACCAGTTATTTTAAGCACCTTTCAACCATTTGTACCTGTACTATGTGTTGGACAGACACACCTGGGTGAGACTGGAGGTGGTGTTAACTCTCCCACAGCGAGGTTATTACTGCATTAACAAGGACATTCACTGTCTGTGTTTTCTGTCTGTCAGGATCAAGAAGAACAGGCTTTCTTTGCCGTGTTTGACGGTCATGGTGGCGTGGACGCTGCCATTTATGCTGCCAACCACCTCCATGTGAACTTAGTCCGTCAGGWGAGCTTCAGCCAGGACCCCAGTGAGGCGCTCTGCAAGGCCTTCAAGCTGACTGACGAACGTTTTGTGAAGAAGGCCTCAAGAGAGGTAAAGAGTCTGTCACTGAGAACCTTCTTTGTGTTATAACCACAGATTATCAACAACAAATGTTTAAATTTATATATTTTAGGGCTGTAAATCTGCAGCTTTATCACCATACATTATATTAATTTGTTTAATGACGACCTTATGTTTCTTGATATCATAGTCTATCATATGATTCTGATTAAATTAAACGTCTGTGATCGATACGACCGATACATCAGCCGGACGATGTTTTCGGCCGATATTTGCGTTTTTTCCTTGTATCGTATAGGGCTGTGTACTGGCAAGAATTTGTCGATACGATACATATCATGACAGAGGGGTCATGATACGATAT